ATTTATTTTGCCAACAAACTCTAACCATTTACAATTCTTTATTCTTTATAGGCTATATAGAAGGAGACATTGCTGACATGACTAACATTAGCCTGGTTGTTATAAGAATATGATCACCGTGTGGTTGCAGTATGCAAATTTATTTAATTTTGGGAAATGGTTTCAGCATTTTTTTTTTCCAACAGAACTCATAATGCTGACATACAGTTTCCTATTTCTTTAATCCTCATATTAACATAATGATTAGTAGTAGTATCAGTATTGAGCTGGTGAAGATTATGTTTCCTCCGTCCTGCCAGACATCAGAAGGTTGATGCCCCATAACAACTTTGCTAAATTCATAACATAAGGGGAACATAATCTTGACAATTGTGTTCTTTTTTAGATATATGGAGTCATAGCCAATCCATAATTTTAATTTTCATGGGTGAAGGGAAGGGAATTCTCCTATATTCCGTACACGCTTACATTAGGGATCTATACTGAAATCCCACTACAATATTGCTATGCAAAAATTGATTTTAATAATCTCTAGTGACTTTCACAGAGGAAGCAATTTTGATGGGAGACCAGACGAGACGCATAATGTAATGTCTCAGATCAATGTGATAACCATGTGATTTCCTGCAGCAAGTCCGTTGAGACTGTCACATCTTTGGCTTGCAACATTTATAATGCGCATCATCTGCAGTTTTTGTGTGTTGACAATCATATATTTACTCTTCTTAGATCCAGGCATCTCGCCATTTCTGCTACTTCACCTCCCAAAACATACGTGGCATGTCTATACTTGGTTGGAGGACCCTCGTACACATACACAACAGCAACTCAACCTTACAATAAAGAGAGGAGGGAGATCATGGGAGACATTCTGTTGCAATTTCAAATGCAACTGCAGCTTTTTAATTATCTTTCTACAAAAAGAGGTTATTTTTTTATCCGAGTTTTACCTGTTTGATTAATTGCTTAAGTAAGTTCGAAAATGTGGTTGAAACCTATAACTTCATTAGCACCTCAATTGCCCTAATGTAAACATATACATGCACACTTTTCCTTGTACTTTATTGACACTATATTCAAATTGAAATTCACTTTTTCTGTGTTTCTAAACACTCTTAAGTCTTAACGACTTCCAAAGTCTCTAGATTGCATATTTTGTCTTGTCAGTCTTCACATGCTACTCTTCCAATATGTACCATCCTTGAAATAATTGACCATCTAGATGACTTTGGCTTTAAAAGTGGCATACATAAGCAAAACAGAACGCTGTTAAGAATAGAGATGCTCAGTGAATTTTCTTCTCGTAGTACTCTAATTGCAACTGATATGTCTTGACCCACTGTTAAGAGTACTGCCCTACTAATCTCATCTTTCATTTTCTTTATAGCTGCTATTGACTTTCTTTCATCCTTGTTCATCTTCTTCCCAAACGAGGTGTTTCTAGTGATGCTGGATTAAATAGTTGAATCTTCCTTTCTCCTCCGCATTAAGGAATGAAGATTTCTTAATTTTTCCTTTATCTGAGAAACGTCATCTCTTGCTAGACCACAAACGTCAAGAATCCTCACTGATTCTCCTTTAAGTCTTCAGCCCACTGCTTGTTTTGATATAAGGATGGGGAATGAAGGGTGTGTGGCAACTTAAGAAGATCATCCATGTGCTCATAAAGCTGTTCTAATCCAAGCAAACCACTACAGATTGTAGCTTCTTCTGGACTGGTTGATACTTGTAATATTTTGTGCTCGTTTAGCTCTTCTTCCAATTTCTGGCTTGGATGTGATCTCCTGGGAAAACTAGTAGACTGGATGCGGTTTTGCCATTCTATGTATTCTTCTCTGGGCTTAACAGGAAAGTAAACTCAATCTTCCATGGCTAGAAAAAGCACTTGGCTTGGTTATATACATCTGCAGATAAGAAAGTAAGGAGACAAGATATCCACTTGCCTATTAAAAATGTGATGAGTGTGTGGTGCAATGTGGGACTTGGTAAGCCTGCTGTTTATTTTGCCAGCAAGACTGCAATCATGTAGCCATTTCTTTATTCCTCACAGGCTTAGAATTGAATGATCTGGAATCTCTCCTCCACTGCATTAATAAAAGGTTAGTTGCTTCCTGTCTGCCTCAAGGCACTGTGCCACATTTCTCTTCAATTATTAAGGTCAATATAATTTGATCTACTCCGATTTAATTAGTTGAAACACGAAGGCTTATTCAGTCTGTCTCTTTGCACGAGCCTCATAGATCTAAAAGAAAATGGGGAATACATTAAAAAAATGATACTATAATCTGTTCAAAATTGAAATGAAGATAGAATATAAAATATTGAATGAATTATAGATGCACGAGGATCAGGAATAAATTAACCTCTGCACATTATAGAGGCCTTACTGGCATTTTCCCTATTACATGATTCATTATTGACTTGGTAATGTGGGACTTGGTAAGCCTGCTATTTGTTTTGCCAACAAGAATCTAATGGTAGCCATTACTTTATTCCTCACATGCTTAGAATTGAATGATTTGGAATCTCTCCTCAACTGCATTAATAAAAGGTTAGTTGCTTCCTTTCTGCCTCAAGGCACTGTGCCATATTTCTCTGCAATTATTAAGGTCAATACAATGTGGATTTGATCCACTTTCTATTTAACTAGTTGAAACATGCATGGATTATTCAGTCTGTCTCTTTGCTCAAACCTCATTTATCTACAAGAAAACGGAGAATGCATTAAATTGATAGTAAAAGCTATTCAAAATTGAAATGAATATAGAATAAAATATTGAAAGAATTATAGATGCCTTACTGGCATGTTCCCTATTATATCATTCATTATTGGCTATAGAGACATGACTTGGTTATCACTCTTATTACACATTTCTTGATTTCTCTTATCCTCACCAATGCAAAATGAATGGTAGGTGTTTATCGATATTGAGTTGGTGAAGGTTATGTTTCCACCTCCCAGCGTTAGAAGATTATTACCACTTGGCACCTTTACTTTATCAATGACAATAAAACCATAACATATTCAAGAAAATTAGCTCAGAAAGATATATCAAGTTTGAATGACACCCAATACTACTGCATCTTCTGCTTTTCACCACAGCATTTACTTGTGATTTCCATCCTAGTTAACCTGCTTGTAATTTTATCTTTTGGTCAGAGGGATTGATTAACACTCTGCAGAGGCAAGCTGAATAATATCTGAAATAAACCTAGGAAAATTTATGCTTCTGATGTTTGGAAATCGCATAAGAGAGTAAAGCTAAAAAGAATATTATAGTTCCATTCTATGATCACCCAGAATATGAAATTGTGAATCGTGCTATACTGAATGGATCAGATTACTAATATACATAAGCTTGTTTAACCAAGATGTGAAGAAATGATTTATATCGAAATGCATGAATACCTAAATATCTTATTGCCCTCTTTAGTTGCCTTAATATCTTGATGCCCTCTTTGATTATATTTATGTAAATGTCTACTGTTAACAGATCTTTTGCAAGAACTAGGAAGGACTTGATACACATAAGAGGAGTGACAGATGCAAGTTGGAGTATAAACTTTCACTTTTGTATTGTATTTCTCTTGAGTAAGTGAGTAACTACAAAATTGATTATATACAAGTATGGCTATACAATTACTTAACAAGAGATGATGTTTAGGAGAGAGCTCCTTAATTTAATCAAGCACCTAAAAATGCTTTCCGCTTTCTTCTCAACATCCTCCAATTGAGTTTCCAAAGTCTCTAGGTTGCAAGTTTTGTCGTGTTGGTCTTCACATGCTACTCTTCCATTTTGTACCAATTTTGAAACCAGTGACCACCTAGATGGCTTGGCCTTCAAAACTGGCACCAACAAGAAAAGCAGGACAGACCGGAAAATAGAAGTGCTCACTGCACTTGCTTCTATTAGTGTTTTGATCACTGCTGAGATGTCACGATGCACATCTAAGGGTGTGGATCCTTCAATCTCACCATCGATTTTCTTTATTGCTGCAAGTGACTTTTTGGCATCCTTGTTCATCTTCTTTATGAATGAAGTGTATTTCATGATGCTGGCTTCAGTACTTGAATCTCCCTTTCTTCTCCTTAGAGAGGATTGGATATCTCTCAAATGTTCTTTCAACTGAGAGATGCAGTCTCTTGCTAGACCACAAATATCAAGAAGCTTTACTGATTTCTCCAATAAGCCATCAACCCACTTCTTGTTTTGATATTGAGTGAGAGCTTGAAGGGTTTGTGGCAAGTTAAGAAGATCATCCATGCACTTGTAAAGCTGTTCTAATCCTAGAAGACCATTGCTGATTGTAGCAGCTTCTGGAGCAGCTGATACTTGTAATGTTTTGAGCTTTGTCAGCTCTTCTTCCACTTTCTGGATGCTTGGATGTGATCTGCTGGGAAAGCTAATAGATCGGATGTGGTTGGGTTTTGCCATTGTTGTATTTTCTCTCTTTGTTACAGGAAAGTAAACTCAAGCTTGTGCTGGCTAGAATAAGCTCTAGGCTTGGTTTTATATTGGCAGATTGGAAGGTATGGAGATAAGTATAGCAATGTGATCAGCATGTGATGCTATGTGCCATTCCATGAACTTAGCCAACCTATTAATTATTTTCCCAACAGACACTGATCATTTATAATTCTTTATTCTGTATAGACCATATAGAAGGAGACAATGCTGACACAACTGACATTAGCCAGGTTGTAATTTGAATATGATCACCATGTGGTTGCAGGATGGAAATGGGTTCTGTATTTTAGTTTTACCAACAAAACTCATAACACATTTTCCTATTTCTTTATCCTCATACTAACAGAATGATTAGTAGGTGTATCAATATTGAGCTGGTGATGGTTATGTTTCCTCCTGCCTGCCTGGCATCAGAAGGTTGATGCCCCACAGCAACTTCGCCACATTCATAACATAAGGGGAACATAATCTTGACAATTTTGTTTCTGTAGATATATGGAGGTATACCCAATCCATAATTTGTATGGGTGAAGAGAAGGAAATTCTCCTATATTCTGTGTACGCGTATATTTGGGATCTATACTGAAATCCCACCACAGCACTGCATTGCAAACATTGATTTTAACAATCTCTTGTGACTTCCATAGAACAAGCAATTTTGATGGGAAATGAGACGTGTAATGGAATGGCTCAGATAAACCATGTGCTTTCCTGCAGCAAGTCCGGTTAGACTCACCACGCCTTTGGCTTAAAAAAAATTTCTATCCTCATCATCTGCAGTTTTTGTGGGTGCTGAGTGCTGACAATCATTTCTTTACTTTTCTTGGATCCAGGCATCTCGCTATTTTTGCCACCTTGCCTCCAAAAAATTTATGTGGCTTGTCTATAATTGGTTGGAGGAGTCGTACACATACACAACAGCAACTCAACCATGACAATAAAGAATGGAGTGGGATAATGGGAGACATTCTGTTGCAAATTTCATATGCACTTGCAGCTTGTTTAATAATCTTACTAGAAAAAAGAGGTTCTTTTTTTCTTACGACTTTTACATGTTTTATTAATTGCTTAAGTAAGTTTTAAAGTGTGGTTACCATAATGTGCGCATTTACAGGCACTTTTTTTTAGAAATACATATGAGGGGTTGGAGATTTTAATTCCTATATTGTAGAGAGGGAACTAGATGAATAATGGAATATATATTTTAATTTCTACACTGTATTTTTCTTGAGTAACTACGTAAGTGGTTATGTACAAGTATGTATAACTATGCAATTTCTAATTAGCATGAGACCATAGAAGAGAGCTCCTTAGTTTAATTAAGCACCTAAAAATGCTTTCCAGTTTCTTCTCAATGACCTCAAGATTAGCTTCCAAAGTCTCTAGATTACATATTTTGTCTTGTTGGTATTCACATGCTACTCTTCAATTCTGTACCATCCTTAAAACAATTGACCATCTAGATGACTTTGGAATTAAAACCGGCATAGACAAGAAAAGCAGAAAGGTATTGAGAATAGAAATGCTCATTGAACTTGCTTCTCTTTGTACTCTAATTGCAACTGAGATGTCTTGATCCCCACTGTTAAGAGTTCTGACATACTAATCTCAACTTCCATTTTTTTTATAGCTGCTATTGACTTCCTTCCATCCTTGTTCATCTTCTTCCTAAATGAGGTATATCTAGTGATGCTGGATTCAATAGTTGAATCTTCCTTTCTCGTCCTCATGAGGGAATGAAGATTTCTTAAGTTTTCCTTTAACTGAGAAACTTCATCTCTTGCTGACCACAAACGTCAAGAATCCTCACTGATTTCTCCATTAAGTTATCAGACATCAGCCCACTGCTTCTTTTGATATTGGGATAGGGAATGAAGGGTGTGTCGCAACATTACAACTTAAGAAGTTCATCCATGTACTCATAAAGCTTTTCTAATCCAAGCATACCACTGCAGATTGTAGCTTCTTCTCGACTGGCTGATACTCGTAATGTTTTGAGCTTATTCAGCTATTCTTCCACTTTCTGGATGCTTGGATGTGAACTGCTGGGAAAACTAATCGACTGGATGTGGTTGGGTTTTGCCATTCTTTGTATTTTTTTTCTCTTGTTTTAACAGAAAAGTAAACTCAACCTTGCATGGATAGAAAAAGCATGTGGCTTGGTTATATATATTGGCAGATAAGAAAGTAAGGAGACGCCGATTAAAAATGTGATCAGTGTGTTGTGCAATGTGGGACTTGGTAAGCCTGCTATTTATTTTGTCAACAAGGCTCTAATCATAGCCATTTCTTTATTCCTCACAGGCTTAGAATTGAATGATTTGGAATCTCTCCTCAACTGCATTAATAAAAGGTTAGTTGCTTCCTGTCTGCCTCAAGGCACTGTGCCACATTTCTCTGCAATTGTTAAGGTCAATACAATGTGGATTTGATCCACTCTTCTATTTAATTAGTTGAAACACACATGGCTTATTCAGTCTATCTCTTTGCACGAGCCTCATTCATCTACAAGAAAATGCGGAATGCGTTTAAAAAATTGATAGTATAATCTGTTCAAAATTGAAATGTCGATACAAAATAAAATATTGATTGAATTATAGATGCACGAGGGTCAGGAATAAATTAACCTCTACACATTATAGAGGCCTTACTGGCATGTTCTCTATTACACATTTCTATATTTCTCTTATCTTCACCATTACAAAATGATTGGTAGGTGTTTATCAATATTGAGCTGGTGAAGATTATGTTTCCACCTGCCAGTGTTAGAAGATTATTACCACTTAGCACCTTTACTTTATCAATGAAAATAAAACCATAACATATTCAAGAAAATTAGCTCAGGAAGATATATCAAGCTTGAATGACGCCCAATACTACTGCATCTTTTGCTTTTCGCCACAACATTTACTTATTGAATTAACTTCATACCTGAAATTCTTTGGTTTTCATATATTCATTAACTCACAAGTGTGCAGAATTAATTCTCATGGAAACTTAGGAATTTCCTTTCATACTCTGTTTTTTTTTGGTAGCACATACAAGTTCATGAAACAACTGCAGGAAAGTATATATTTTCAGATTGACATTTGGAGGTCCATGGTCCTGAAAAGAGCAGAGGGTGGTGATGAGTCTTGTGACTTCCATCCTAGTTAACCTGCTTGTAATTTTACCTTTTGGTCAGAGGAAGTGATTAACACTCTGCAGGGGCAAACTGAATAATATATGAAATAAACCTAGGAAAATTATGCTTCTGAAATCTGAAGTTTGGAAATTGCATAAGAGAATAAAGCTAAAAAGTAAATATTGTAGTTCCATTATATAATCACCCAGAATGAATCATGCTATACTGAATGGATAAAATTACTAATATAGATAACTTTGTTAAGCCAAGATGTGAAGATATGATTTGCATCAAAGTGCATGAATGCCTCAAAAAATCTTAATGCCCTCTTGGATTATATTTATTCAAATGTATACTGTTAACAGATCTTTTGCAAGAACTGGGAAGGGCGTGATACACATAAGAGGAGAGATATATATGAAATTTGGGGTATAAACTATCACTTTTGTATTGTATTTGTCTTGAGTAACTACAAAATTGATTATATACACATATGGCTATACAATTGCTTAGCAAGAGATGATGTTTAAGAGATAACTCCTTGATTTAATCAAGCATCTAAAAATGCTTTCCATTTTGTTCTCAATATCCTCAAGTTGAGCTTCCAAAGTCTCCAGGTTGCAAGTGTTGTTGTGTTGGTATTCACATGCTACTTTTCCATTTTGTACCAATTTTGAAACCAGTGACCACCTAGATGGCTTAGGCTTCAAAATTGACATAGACAAGAAAAACAGGACAGACTGGAAACTAGAAGTGCTCACTGCACTTGCTTCTCTTAGTGCTTTGATCACTGCTGAGATTTCACAATGCACATCAAAGGGTGTAGATCCTTCAATCTCATCATCGATTTTCTTTATAGCTGCGATTGACTTTTTTACATCCTTGTTCATCTTCTTTATGAATGAAGTGTATCTGGTGACGCTGGCTTCAGCACTTGAGTCTCCCTTTCTTCTCCTTTGGGAGGATTGGAGATCTCTCAAGTGTTCTTTCAACTGAGAGATGCAGTCTCTTGCCAGACCACAAATATCAAGAAGCTTTACCGATTTCTCCAATAAGCCATCAACCCACTTTTGATTTTGATTTTGGGAGAAGGCTTGAATGGTTTGTGGCAAGTTAAGAAGATCATCCATGCACTTGTAAAGCTGTTCTAATCCAAGAAGACCACTGCTGATTGTAGCAGCTTCTGGAGCAGCTGATACTTGTAATGTTTTGAGCTTTGTCAGCTCTTCTTCCACTTTCTGGATGCTTGGATGTGATCTGCTGGGAAAGCTAATAGATCGGATGTGGTTGGGTTTTGCCATTGTTTTATTTTTTCTGTCTAACAGGAAAGTAAACTCAAGCTTGTGCTGTGGCTAGAATAAGCCCTAGGCTTGGTTATATATTGGCAGATTGGAAGGTATGGAGATAGGAATAGCAATGTGGTCAGCATGTGATGCAATGTGCCATTCCTTGAACTTAGCCAACCTGTTATTTATTTTGCCAACAAACTCTGATCATTTATAATTTTTTATTCTGTATAGGTTATATAGTAGGAGACATTGCTGACATGACTAACATTATATATTAGCCTGGTTGTTATAAGAATATGATCACCATTGCTTGTGGTTGCAGCATGCAAATTTCTTTAATTTTGCGAAATGGGTTCTGCATTTTTGTTTCACTAACTAAACTCATAATACAGTTTCCTATTTCTTTAATCGTCATATTAACAGAATAATTAGTAGGTGTATCAGTATTGAGCTGGTGAAGATTATGTTTCCTCCTCCCTGCCAGGCATTAGAAGGTCGGCAACATTGCCACATTCATAACAGAAGGGGAACACAGTATTGACAATTTTGTTTTTGTAGATATATGGAGGCATAGCCAATCCATAACTTTAATTTGCAGGGATGAAGGGAATGAAATTCTCCTATATTCTGTACACGCTTACATTAGGGTTCTATACTGAAATCCCAATAAAATACTGCATTGCAAAAATTGATTTAAATAATCTCTTGTGACATTCACAGAACAAGCAATTTTGATGGGAGACGAGACGAGACGCCTTATGTAAATGTAATGGCTCAGATCAATGTGATTACCATGTGCTTTTCTGCAGCAAGTCCGGTGAGACTGTCACACCTTTGGCTTTCAAAAATTTATAATGCGCATCATCTGCAGTTTTTATATGCTGACAATCATTTCTTTACTCTTCTTTGATCCAGGCATCTCGCCATTTCTGCTACTTCACTTCCCAAAACATACGTGGCTTGTCTATACTTGGTTGGAGGACCCTCGTACACTCACACAACAGCAACTCAACCTTACAATAAAGAGTGGAGGGAGATCATGGGAGCCATTCTGTTGCAATTACATATGCAAGTATGCAACTGCAGCTTTTTAAATAATCTTTCTACAAAAAGAGGTTTTTTTTTTTACACGAGTTTTACCTGTTTGATTAATTGCTTAAGTATGTTCGAAAGTGTGGTTACAACCTATAACCGCATTAGCACCTCAATTACCCATAATGTAAACATTTACATGCACTCTTTGACTTGTACTTTGTTTTTATTTTTGGTGTACCCCGGGTTTCTACCGTCGAATAGATTTAAGGCTACTCCATACCGAAGTCAAGGATCAAACCCTTGACTTTTGGTTAAGAATGGATGAGTCCCTTCCACTCAACCACACCCCCAGGTTTTTTACTTGTACTTTATTGACAATATTCAAATTGCAATTCATTTGATTATTAAATATGTTACGAAAGTAAATAGAAGATTTCTGAATATGTTGTTCATTGAAAAGAGAATACACAACCCTATAAATACATGCTAGAAGACTTCTAATAAGGAAACAAGTTTCCAAATGACTTCCTACTCACACCCCTAAAAATCTCTAGGCTGCCTAATATGTATACATTCCAGAATACTTGTATATTCAATAACACTCCCCTTCATGTTGAAGCATAGATATTAATCATGCTCAACTTG